CTCTTGCTATGGCTCTAATAGCTCTGACCCCCAGACAACTTTATTTATTAACATACAATCAAATTAATATTTCAGTACAAATCAAAATAATATTTCAATACAATTAGATTACCACCACACATCTAACTACTAGTCTCTGGCTTTGGGCTTCCTTGCTTTTCCCATAAAGTTTCCCTCCCTGCCACGTGACTGCCTGCCTCAGTGTGGCATAACTCAAATGACATGCTTTATTTTTCTTCTTCTCTCCATTGTCCTACTCCAACAGCTGCCATGGCTTACAACTTTGCTTCCCTGGGATTTTTTTTATTCTAATTAAACTGCTTTAATTGGCAGAGCAAATAAACTGGTTCCTGCACCCCTAAGACGTTATGATTGCTACTGTGTAACTGCACTTTTAATATACATTGAATAACTGTATCCTCTTGGCATATTTTTCTTTCTTGACTAAAAATCTATGGACTGAGTGAAAGGGTAGGGAAAAGTTTTTGCTATGATGCAAACTACATCATCTCAAATTTCTGAAGCGTGACAGTGGCCTGCCCTAGCTTGGCACTCCTTTTTCTATGCAGCTGGTCTAGGGACTCCTTCTCTAGAACTGTGGCTGGAATGTGATACTTGTGCCCCAATTATTAAAATCGGAGCTTACCATCATGCACAGTGTAGAGGGTGGGCTCTGACAGCTACCCAATCAGTACCGCGGAGCGCAGCACGAGCTATCCAATCAGAAGCGCCGGTTGATGGAGCGGAAGTTCCTCACCGGCCATCTTTCTACTTGCCTGGCTATTGTGGTGCTGTCCTGTCAGGTGAGGGAGTCACGGGCGGCCGTTCAGGGTCCGTGGCTGTTTGACTTCCAACGCCAGAGCGTTCCTAAGAGCCTCAGGAAGCCTGGGGCTCAGACATGGTAAGTGTCCTTGCGGCCAGCTATCCAATCAGGAGTGCCGGGAGGCAGAGCGGATGTTCCTCACACGCCATCTTTCTTCCTGGCACGGTCTGGTCAGCTGAGAGGGGCGGGAACACAGTCAAGCCTCTGGCCGGGTGACAGCCGACCTCTGAAGCTGTCCTGAAACGTTAAGAACCCTAGGACGCAGACGTGGTAAACGTCTGCAAGTATAGGAGTCACCGTGTCGGTGCCACACTTCTGCACCCAACCCTGCTTTGGGTGCTGCGGGCATCACGGTTTCTCTGCTCTCTGTGTGGCGGACCCCAGCGGCCTACCCCAACTCTTGCAGAATTCCGTTCTCCAATCTTTACCGCAAGACCCCTCCTGAAAAGTATATATAGTTGAGCATGTTAGCACATGCCCACAACACTGGGACATGCGAGAAGATAGTGAGTTGAAGGCCACTTTGGACTGAACCCCCCATTCTAAGCCTACCTGAGCTAGCAGCAAGATTCCGTCCAAAAAAAGAGTGATGTAGACATTCAGTGCTTTTGGATTAGTTAACTTGGAAATAGATTAAGAAGCTCCATATTCTAGCCCGGTGTTCTGGTCTATAATTATACATTTTAACCCTCGTCTACAGTGATTTGTTATTTTACTTTCACTGTCTAAAAAAAATTTTTTGAGCAAAATATTGGGAACTATATTTACTTAATTTTTGCTTACTAATTACCATAAAAATTGTCTAGTTTTTCCTGGTATAGTGGCTCATGTCTTTAATCTTAGTATTCAGAAGGCAGAGACAGGTGGATCCCTGTGAGTTCAAGGCCACACTAGTCTACAGAGGTAGTTCAGACCTGAAATTCCAACGACGCAAGAGACTAAAGCAGAAGGATGGCAAGCTCAAAGCCTGTCTAGGCTACAAGAATTCCAGGCCAGCTTGGGCAACTTAGAAAGAACATGTTTTAAAATAAAAAATAAAAAGAGGAACAGGGGATTTACTATAGTGGCAGAGAATATTTGCCTAGAACTAGATTCAATACCTAGCACACATACAAGAAAATGATATTTTTGAACATGAATGGAATAAATACTTGGCAGGATGTCTGGAGGACAGCTAATACCAAAACTATGGTGTTAATATGGGTTTGTTGTTGTTTTAAGACAGTGTCTTATTTGCTTACCTGGAACTCACTGTGAAGACCAGGCTGAACTAGAATTCATAGAAATTGACTTGCCTCTTCCTCTTGAGTGCTGGGAATAAAGGTATATGCCACAAAACTCAGCCAAGTATTCTTAATACCCATGTACAAATGTCTAATGTCCTCAGTCATCTGGGAAGTTAATTCTGAAATTACAACAAGAGTGATGTAGTGGCATGGCTTGTAATCCCAAGTCTTGGAAGGAAAGAACATCACAAGTTTGAGGCTAACCCAGATTACATAATGAGACCCTGTCTCAAAAAAACCATAACCATAAAAGTGGCAAACCACTTTCATCCCAGCATTTGGGAGGCAGAGGCAGACAGATCTCTGAGTTTGAGGACAGCTTGGTCTACAAAGTGAGTTCCAGGACAGCCAGGACTACTCAGAGAAACCCTGTCTCTAAAAACAAACAAAAAATAACCATAGCCAGAGCCCAACTAGTAGATGAGCAAAGACTACCAAAGCTGTCCAGCCTTCATGTTGGCAAGGATACCCTCCAATGGGAGTGGCAGGCCCATAATAACTCAAAGAAACATACCCCAAAGCCACAGTTCCATTTCTAATTCTAGAAATTTATGGCAGAGTTCCCATTTGTCCTAAATAAAGAGATGGGGACATTTAGTACTGTTAACAGGATGAAATAAGTAAATTGTCCATTTGTAAGATGTAAAGGAAGTTAAGAAAAATAAATGATAACAGGAGATGATATGGAGGTTGGAGTTTCATCCTTTCAGCCTGGAAGTGGTGGCACACACCTTTAATCCAAGCACTTGAGAGGCTGAGGCATGTGGATCTCTTAAGTTCAAGGACAGCCTGGCCTACATAAAGAGGCTCTGTCTCAGAAATAGAGGTTTCTTTCTTCTCTATGCATTTGCAGTGTGTAAAAAAGTGAGAGTGTCATCTCTGATCATTTCTGATACCATATCCAACACCTAATTCTATACCAGCACTTGTTTGTGTATACTTATGAGCAGTGTGGGGTGCTTTGGACAGTCTGGCCTGGCATGACTGTCATGATACATTAAAGATATAAAACATATGTATAATGTATTTATTTCACTATTGTTAGTTGTTGTCATGCATGTATTAGTTGTATTAGTCATTTTTCTCTTGCTGTGATGAAACATCATGACCAAGGCAACATATAGAAGAAACATGGTTCCAGAGGAATGAGTACATAGTGGTTGGGAAGCACTGTAGCAGGTGGGACTCATGGAAACAAGAATAGGAAGCTGGAGGCTCATCTTTATGTGCAAGCATGAAGCAGAGAGAGTGAAATGGAAATGATGGGAGGCTTTTAATTCCAGTCTATCCCCTATCTCCTCTAGAAAACCCATGCCACCTAAACCTTCCCAAACAACTCCACCAACTTGGTGTCTAAATGCTTAAGACTATAGAGGAAATTTCTCATTCAAACCTCCACACATACATGTAGTATGTAATTCTGAGTGTGGACATGAGAGTCTGGAACTGAGCTTCCTTTTTAATTTGAAACACAACTGTCTCTTTAATATCATTTGAAGATTTGCAAGTACATATTTGTGTTTTACTACACTTTCAATCAAATGCATCCTATTGTCACCCCATCTTTTGACACATTCTCACTAATTACTCTGAGTTGGCCTGGAACTAACTATGTACACTAGGCTAGCCTCAAATTCATATAGATCCTCATTATATTCTCTTATGTCTCTCCTACCCCCATTGATCTGTTTTTTCTCAACTAGTGCCTTCCCAGTTTCTATACCACTAAAGAAAATGTCTCTTCCTCCCCTAGCAACCATTAACTACATAGAGATCCTCAAGGAGTAGATAGGCCTCATGAGCTTTTCCTCCTTAGCTACTAGTTAATGACCTATAAGTCTTCAGAAGTCTCTCTCCCCTCCATAAAAGATGTTGATCAGCCCAATATTGTGCCAGTATTATTTTGTAGGTAACCCCAGCTACTGTGAATTCAACTTCATGGTATTTAGACAGGAGAGAGAGAGAGAGAGAGAGAGAGAGAGAGAGAGAGAGATACACACATATATTGCAGAGGCCAGAAAAGTACATCAGGTGCCCTGCTGTATCACTCTCTCGGCCTTTTTTCTTTGAGACAAGGTCTCACTGTACCTGAAGTGAAGCTGGGAGTTAGCAGTGTTGTCTCGGCTTCCCTACAGAACTGGAGTTATAGGTACATGCTAGGATCACAACTCAGGTCCCTGTGCTTATGCAAGCATTCTTACCCACTGAGTCATCTCTCCATCCAGTAAGTAGTGATATAAACCATACCCTTCAAGCCTTGGAGTTTCTCCCAGGCTGTGAAATAGTTGTGGTTATTTGTACATCCAGTGCTGTCCCATTGTGGCTTTTTCCTATGGATAGAACATAATCTAGTCTACTCTGATTTCCCCCTTTGAAATACCAAAGGAAGTCACTTACCAAAGCAGTAATTGAGGTGAGCATCAGCGTGTCATTTTTGATTTGAACAATACCTTAGTGGGAAACGGTATTGTGTTTTGAATGTGAAATGTCCCCCATACTTCACGTGATTAAACACTTGATCTCTACCCAATGGTATGTTTTGGGAAGGTTGTTGAACCTTAAAGAGGTGAAGACTCACTGGGTGAATTAGAGTACTGGAGGTGGTCCTGAGGCTTTATTGTATGTTGTATAGCCCACTTCCTCTTCACTCTCTGTTTCCTGAGTGTGGATGCATGTGACCACCCAGCCTCCTGCTCCTGTCACAATGCCATCTCTGCTTGCTGCTTTGTCTTCTTTGCCATGATTGGCAACATTCTCTGAAACTGTGAGTCTGAGGCCAGCCTGGTATACATAGCAAGGTCCACATCAGCCAGGGATACACAGAGAAACCCTTTCTCAGAAAAATAAATAAATAAATAGATAAATAAATAAATAAAACAAAAACAACAAGCAACTTGAGAGAATGGTTTATTTACTTCACAAGTCCAGGTTACAGTTCGTTCTACAGAAAAGGAAAGGCAGGGAACTTGAACTGGATAATCACATCACACTCATAGTCAAGAGCAGAGAGAAATGAATGTATCCATGCCTACCATTCAGCTCACTTTCATCTCTTACCCAGTCTGGGACCCAACCACAGGGACTAGCACCACTCACTTTTAGACTAGATTTTCTCACATCAGTTCACACAACCAAGACACTCCCTCACAGACATGACCACAGAACAACCCAATATGGTCAGTCCCGCATTGAGACTTAGTTCCCAGGTAACTATAGATTTTGTAAAGTTGATAAAGCTAACCAACACAATGCCCTTAAACAGAATATTGGCAAAAATAAAAAAATAAAAAATAAAAATAAAAAAATAAAAGGCAGTTAAGTCTATACTGATGAGATTTTAATCAGAAGTGAGGACATCTGATTGGAAATGGGAAATTATCATTCTCATTCCGAATGTCTAAAAGGCTGAATTATTTCTGTATCCAAGGACAGTATGGAGAACAGAACTTCAGAGTGATGAACTGGTATATTTGGAATAAAAGGTCTCAGCTGTTGTTTGGGTTGCTGCATGACTTCCATTACTAGTGAGTGAAAATGAGGACATGACTGCTCCAGGGTGTGGTTGAGGAGAAGAATTTTATTGTAGATATGAAGATTTTAGTCTGAGGCATCTGGAAGGGTACAGACTGAACCAGGCCATGAGAGGAAAAAGGAGAGGCGGGGGCGGGGGGAGATCAAGAGAGGAAGAGAAGAGAGAAAGAGAGCCAAAAGGACAAAGAGACAAAGGGTGAGCCAGCAAGGAACTAAGAGGCCAAGAGAGTACATGGGAACCAAGAGAGTGTGTGGCCAGGAGGGCTGGTTTATAAAGGATTAGAAGTTCTGGGAAGGGAAGGGAAGGCCAGTCTCTGGGCTGGAGAGATTTAGAATAGGGGGTGGTGTGAGTGGTGCTGGGAGGAGCCACAGGTACTGAGTGAGACTTGTCCCAGGTTGTTTTTGGACCTGACAACTGGCTTCTAAGGAAATGCATAAGGAAAGAAGGGACATAAAAACTGTTACTGTAATCAAAAGGGAAGTTGAAAGTAAAGATCTGGAAAATTCTCAGCCTAACTATGTAAAATATAAATACAGTATACTTTGAGAACAGCAAGTAGCGTCTAATCTACCTTACCTAGTAGATTTGGCTAGAAGGAAGCCTGGTGCTATTCATGAAAGATGTGGAAAATATGACCTTGAAGGCATTATGGAGATTTTCAAAACTCCCCTTCCCATATTTGCAAATGCATGGATTATTTTGTTCATGTTGTTTGTGGTGGTGGGTTTTTTGTTTGTTTGTTTGTTTTTGTTTTATTTTACGGCAGTATCTCATTAAATAACGCAGGCGGGCCACAAAATAATAGTACTGCTTCAGCCTTCTGAGTGCTGAGATTATAGGGATGTCATGCCCTTGATGCAGAAAAATTTAACATGGGGGGAAGGGGTTAACGATACCAGCTAACCTTGAGACTAAGGCCACCATAAATCTGTTTCTTTCTGCTGTACTTGAGTCAGTGCTTATCTTCTGTCTACTGATGAGAAATCACAAACAAATCTCAAACTATGTTTCTAATACTCCAGGTCTCCAGAGTGTAGAAGCTGGAGAAAAAGATAAACTTCTCCATGTATATTCCAAGAAATCTCTCCAGCGTTCCTAAGGCCAAGGCAAAATTGTATGGTAGGAGCAGAGCTATCAGAGAGACTCCCATTCCTAAGGCCCAGGCAACTTGTAGAGTTGAAGCTCTTGCAGTCTTCAACAGTACAGTGCATGGGTGGTCCATGGAAGAATGATCACCATTGATCCCCCAGAGATATAGAGCCACCAGCATGCAGCCATGCAACACAGTTCTGTGGCAGACACAAGAATATTCAATGCATGACAACTAAAGCATTTGCTTCACCTCCCAAATGGTTTCCAACAAGTCTATCCAAGTTTTGTGGGCTTCGAGCATGGCCAGTATCTTCTGGTCAAACTGTCCCAGTATGGCCAGCAAGTTCAGCTAACTTTCTTTTAATATTTCCTTGCTTGCAATATAGATTCTGCAGTTTCAGTCCAACTGGTATCTGAAAACATTAAATGAAAATTTCTAGAGGTAAATATTAATAACTTTTAAGTTGTGGGTAGTTCTGAGTAATGTCATGAAATATACAGCAATGCTAGTCCAACATTTGCCTCATATAATCTCATTATATAGCAGCTATGTGACATCATGTCAGCCCAAGAAGAAAGATGAATGCACTGTGCTGTGACATATTGAGACAGAAAGAAACTGCTATAGTTCTGTTTCCCTGTTATATATTGTTATAAATCTCTTCTTGTGCCTAGTTAGCAAATTATACTTTCTTTTATGTATAAGTAGAAAAAAACATATATTAGGCTAACTACTAGCCACTGTTTTCATGTTCCACTGCAGGTCTTAGGGCATATCTCCTTCAGATGCTGGCCACTACTATTTCTTTATTTTCTTTTTTTCTTATTTATATTTTTTTACAATTTCATTTCTGTATATTTTGATCTTTTTCACCCACCATTAGGTCATCCCCATACCACTTCTTTTGAACCCTGGTTTCAGCAAGTTCCACTCCAACTCTGTTTTATTTTTTGTGTTTGTGACCTTATGACCTTAATTATGGTTACTTGAATGTACATGGGTGAGAGTTATTTTCTGAAGCATGGGCAATGTCTCAGAAGGCAATGACCCTTTCTTCCCCAGCAAGCCATTAATTCCTCATAGTTCCTCTAGAAGGGTGGGGCCTAATTCTGGAATGTTGAAAGGCCCCATTTTCTGCAAGTCTTGTGCAGATAACTACACTACTGTGAGTTCATGAGCTCAACAGCTGTATCATGTCCAGAAGACAGTATTCACAATATTACTTCCCATCCTCCAATACTTGTATCCTTTCGCAATGTTCTCCAAGCCTTGGATGGGTGACACAGACATCCTGTTAAGGGGTGAGCATTCAAGAGTCCCTTATTCTCAGTATGTAGACCACTTAGAAGTGTCTGTATTAAATATCACCCACTGCAAACAGAAGCTTGTCTGGCCAGCAGTAATCTTCTGTGACAGCATCACACTAATCTGTGAGTATAAACGTAAATATTTATAAGACAGCTTGACATTATATTCATATGACAAAACAACAGAGCAGTTCTCCTTCAGGGCCCATGACCTCCCCACCCATGGACTTTTGAGCAAGTTTACACTATCACACATTGAGTCCCTTCCTGGAAAGAGGTCTTAAATGACATCAGAAACATCTTTGTTATAACCATACCTTCCATTCCACTCTTTACACCAAGGACACATCTTGACTGACCAGTCGATATTGTAGATTACAGGATTCACAACTGGCTAGGACACTTTGCTCTCAGCCGCAAAGTTCTGGCTTGATTTTTTTCTGGGGTTGGTTTGTTTGGTTGGTTGGTTGGTTGGTTTTTGCAACCAAATGGTGTGTTGTCGTCAGCATCAGAGTCCTACCATTTAGTTCTAATGGTCAACCAGAAGCAGGCCTCGGGCCGACTAGAAACCTAGAAAGCAGGTATAAGATGTGCCCAAGTTTGTGGGAACTGTCAGTTCATGGGTGCTGGTGGGCGGGGCGGAAGTTCTTTACCCGCCATCTTTCTTTCTGGCGCGGCCATAGTATCGCAGAGGTCCTGTCAGCTAAGGAAGTCTTGTGGGTCTCAGCCCCGGTAGCAGGGAGAGCTTCTACCCCAGGAGCCGTGAGGCCGCAGGAGGCCCCCGGCGGAGACATGGTGAGCGTGAGGCGGGTATGTGAGGTGGGCGGTTCTCCCCGACACTGCTGGCACGCGGGAGCTCGCGGGAGCGCTCAGTCCCTCCGCTCCCTGGACGATGGGACTCCCGTTGTACTGAGCGGGACTCAGTTGCACTGAGACCAGGTTTCCTGTCTGCAGCTCAGCCCACGCTTTGCCGGATTCCTTCACATTATGGTGACAGCCATAGGGTCCTGGAGGAAGCTTTTGCCTTTATGTGGGACGGTGGGCGGGAGCTGCTGCGGTGCTGGGTTCCCGTCTCTGTGTTCTGTGGCAGTAGTTTTATGGCGAGTCTTTCCAATTCCTGGGAAAGGACATCTGAACTCTATGACCTTCCCCATGCAGCCCAGTACTGTATGGAAAATAAATCTCCATGTATCCAGGCATTTCCCCATACTGCCCAACTCATTAGAAAGAATCCAATGTAACTGTGCTGTTGGAGTAGGAGAAAACTTGCGCTCCTCTCTGACGTCATTGTTATTGTCCTTTGACCGTTCTTTCTTTGGGGGAGGGGGCGGGTTTTCGAGACAGGGTTTCTCTGTATAGCTTTGTGTCTTTCCTGGAACTCACTCTGTAGCCCAGGCTGACCGTTCTTCCGTTGACAGTGGTTTTAAGATTACATCCTAATTGGAGGAAGACTTGATTGTAAAAAGTATTGCAATAGCAATAAGTCCCAGCTCTTAAATCCTCCGTGCATTCCAGTAATTAGGCAGAAGGGAGCTTAGCGTTACTATTTCCAAATAAATTGGAGCAGAAAGTGAAAGGGGAGGGATGAGGACTTTCCCCTTAGGTCATCCTGTTCTTTGGGGGACTGTCGGGGAAAGGTGGTGTGCTGACTTTTGCTGAGAGTGGGTCGGAGATAGCAGATGTGAAAGAAGAAGCTTGGTTGGAGAAAGAACAGATCATTCAGGAAAGTTTGCTTAATAAGTATTTTGTTTTCTCTGTTCAACTCAGCCATATATTTTTGGGACATGTGAGCATTTGGGTTTTTCTGTTTTAGAATTTTGTTTATGTGTATGAGTGTTTTGCCTGTGTATGTGTATGTGCACTACATGTGCGCCTGGTGATCACAGAGACCAGAAGATCCTCATGGGATTAGAGTTGCAAAGATGGTTATGAGCTGCCTTGTGGGTGCTGGGACTCAAACTCAGTTCCTCTGGAAGAGAAGCTAGTTCTCTTAACAACTGAGCCATCTCTCAAGCATATGACAAATGGGCATTTGTAAGGTTTTTGTCTGGACTGGTCATAGATTTAAAGGGTCAGGCCTGGAAGTAACATCATCTAAATGTAAGAGAGGGAAATGTTTCTGACGTACAGAAAGTATTGTGAGAGGGAAGGTCAGTAATTGCTGTTTTCCAGGATTACATGTTTGGGTAAAACTCATCAACTTAAGCCATTTCTCTTTTCTACCGGGCAAGGGGCATGCAGTATAGTCAGAGTAAAATTTGTACCTTGTCCGAATGTCTGTATTGAGCAGTCTGAGGGAAAATTACCTCAAGAAAAGGATTTATCATTTTTGCAGTGTATTTATGAATAACCTTAAAAGTCTGTTAGTGTCCCAGATTCTATCTAGGACATAGGAGTGTCTTTGGATTGTTTTTTCTTTTCTTTTTATTTTTTTAATTAGTATTTTTCTGAGACAGGGTCTCACTATATATTCTTGGCTGGCTGACCTGGAACTCACTATGTAGATCAGGAGGTCTGGATCTCATGGCAGTCTACCTACCTCTGCCTCCTGAGTGCTAGGATTTAAAAGCATGCATGCATCTTTTCTTCTTAGCTAAACCTTTCAGGCAACATTTGACCTCATGTTAATTAGACACTTAGAGTACCACCCTTTGATCACTTTAGGATGAGGAGAGGGATCAGACAGAGCAAACAGGTACCTTGGACTATTATCTGCAGTGGAAACGCTGTAGTGGAATTGAGCCATAAACCTGTCCGGGTTTTTTTTTTAATTCATTTATTTATATTTTATGTATATAAGTATGCATGTATATATGTATGTATGTCACATGTGAGGCCATTGCCCACAGTGGCAAGAAGAAAGCATCAGATCACCTGGAATTGGAGTTATGGTTGTGGGGCACCATGTGGGTGCTGGGAACCAAACCTGGGTCTTCCTTAAGAGCAGCAAGTGCTCTTAACCACTGAACTCTCTCTCTTATCACTGCAACCCTTAACATTAGTCTCTCTCTCTCTTTCTCTCTCTCTCTCTCTCTCTCTCTCTCTCGCTCTCGCTCTCGCTCTCGCTCTCTCTCGCTCTGTGGGGGGGGGGGCATATGTGTCACAACATTCATAGGTCAGAGGACCATGTTCAGGGAGTTTGTTCTCTTCTTCCACTATGTGGGTTCCACATAGATCTTTTAGGCTTATGGGCAAGCCCCTTTACACCTACTGAGCCACCTTATTGGTTGGAACTTCTCAGGATTGTGCCAATGTAGGTGTCAGAATTGAATTGTAGGACATCTTATTGGTATTGGAGAATCTGGTAATGACACTGATGTCATAAAATGCCAGCACAATTGAGAATCCTCATCTAACTGTGTGTGTTTGGCCACTCCTCTGAATTGATTTTGTACAGGAAAGAAGCTATTAACACTGAGAAGTGGGGGAAGTTGGGTGCAGTTTCCAGAATGAAGTTTCCTAGATGCTCAGGGTTTCATGATTTACTAGAAGTGAAGCACCCTGGCCTACACCTATGTAGTGACCATGGTTTCTTTTTTGTTTTGATTTCTTTTAGTTTTTTTTTGTTTGTTTTTCAAGACAGGGTCCTTGCTGTCCTAGAACTCACTGTATAGACCAGGCTAGCCTTGAACTCAAAGATCCACCTGCCTCTGCCTTTGGAGTGCTAGGATTAAAGGCATGCATCACCACTGCCCAGCCAGTGACCATGGTTTCTAAGCTTAGAGATGGGTTCATCCTTGTGAACTGGGGGTGAAACGGGCTATTTCTCTGATCTCATCTTTTGTTTTCCTTGTAGAATTGTGTTTCTATAGAGTAACAGTTTACAAAAACATCTTTTTAATTTCTTTCATGATTTGAGTATAAAATGGTGATATATAAGCCTATGTGTGGGCACACACTTGCAAACCATGCATTTAGAAAGTTTGAGGCAGGAATGTTGTCATGAGGCTGAGGACAGTTTTATCTACATAGTAAAGTCAAGTTCAGCAAGTGCTCCAGAGCAAGACCTTGTCTCAATACTCTCTGCTGTACTTCCCCCCACAAAAAGTGGGTGATGTCCTTGGTAAGATCCTGAGTGGATAGAAAGCTGGGGTCTGAAGAAGTAAGGAAATCAGAGGATAGAGGATGTTTGTGAAGGCAATTCTCCCCTCCTACCTTCACAGAGGTATAGACATTAAATTCAGTTCACCGGGTTTTCTTGGCAAGCACTTTCATCTGCTGAACCATCTTTATAGTCCAAGGAAATCTGCCCCACCCCCCCCCCCTACCCCACCCCCCACCCTGAGACAGGATTTTTTTTTTTTGGTAGCCTTGGCTGTCCTAGAAACGAGCTCTGTAGATCAGGCTAGCCTCAAACTCAGAGATCCACCAGCCTTTGCCTCCCAGATGCTGGGATTTAAGGCATGTGCCACTACCACCTGGCTCCAAGGGATTCCTTAAAATAAGGTTAATAATCACTTTGAATGACAGCATGTATATTCCCATGCAGTCACCCTGCTGGTGAATAAATGGGCCATGGTCATTTCCAGAGACTCACTTTGATTTCATTCCACTCCTTACATACAGTTTACTAACGCAGGGATTTCTCTTTTTCTTTTCTATTTTTCCTTTTTAACAGTTTTACAAACTGTCACTAGCCACATTTCATTTGGTTTCACCTCCTTTGAATTTTGGATGAAATAATAGTGCAGTTAATATGGTTTTAAAAATTGTGGTTTCTTTGTTAAAGTTCCTAGCAGTTATGTTGGTATTGGAAGCTAAATTTATAATAAAAACCAGCTCACTCCATTTCTCTGCTTGTTATATTGGGCTTGTTCTGTATTTATTTTTGTGCTTATTTGTGTTTATTTGGTGATGTTCATAATATTATTTTGTTCCTCTGCATTTTTTCCCCTTTCACAGTGGGAAATGTAGGTGATTTCTCAACTATGAGTAGATTCAAATTTAGCAGGAAATTTTGTAGTTTAATTTATCATTTCATTTTCATAGATGTGTATTGTGTGATTTGACAACACTTCAGATAATCTACTTCATTGTCTAGTATTAAACATAATAGTGAGGGCAGGCAGTGGTGGTGCATGCCTTTAATCCCAGCACTCAGTTACACTGGTCTCAGAATGCTTCTGTTGGCCTTTTCCTCAGGACAAAACTGTGCCTCTCCATTGTTAGCTCCTTCAGCTCCTGTTTTCCCTTTGCCCTCTTGTCTTGACTTTAGTGAGCTTCAGGCAGCACTGTGTAGCCCTCTCTTCTCCAAGAATTGGAGCAGGGAATTTCTGTTTATTTTTAAGGGGTTATGAAGGGGATGAGACTTACTTGTTCCTTATCACCCTTCCTTCTTTTCTTCCTTGCCTTATGTTTTCTCAGCATATTGATATGACCATAGGATTTTTATTCTTTGTAAAGATTTATTTTCATTATTATTATTTGGGGGTGGGAGTTGGAGACAGTGTTTCTCTGTGTAGCCCTGGCTGTCCCAGAACTGGCAATGTAGGCCAAGCTGGCCTCAAACTTAGAAATTCACCTGCCTCTGCATCCTGAGTGATGGGATCAAAAGCTTATGCCACCACACTTGGTTTTAATTAGAGATAGATAGATAGATAGATAGATAGATAGATAGATAGATAGATAGATAAGAATGGTATTTCTCTGTATATGGGTTCAGGGCCTGCTGAGGCAAGAGGTGTTGGGCCCCTTGGCGCTAGAGTTACAGGCAGTTGTTTGCTGCCCAATATAGGTACCAGAAACTGAACTTGGGTGCTGTGCAAGACTAAAGTGAGCTCTTAACTGCTGAGCTATCTCTTCATCCTCAG